GATCGATGCAGCACGGCTTGAGTGGTACACGCTTCCGAAATGTTGAAGAAGTGCGAGAATGGGTGGACGAATGGATTGCTTCGAAACAAACATCGTTTTATCGAGATGGTATCGCCCAGTTGCCAGAAAGATGGCAAAAAGTTGTAGAAAGTGATGGAAAATACTTTCATTGAAATAATTTAAATAAATTTTTTACAATAAATGCTTTTTCTCAGTATTTTTTGGGCGGAAACTAAGTTAAGGTCCTAATATATAATAAAGTACTGTAACGTTTTTCGTAAACAGAAAGATATAATTTACTTACATCACTATTGGATCTATTTGATACAGATAGTCGGTCACTATATTCACTATTTCCATGAATATTCCATGAACGTGACTGTTGTTGTACATCAATAGAGTATGGATATTCATGTTCCATGTCCATTGTCTGCATATGAAATATGAATACTGTTAATAATATGTAACTAATTAAAGAACCAAATATATGCATAATAATATATACGTCAAATCATTGAAAAACTGAACCAAGATGAAACTATCTTATGTTGTATATATACTAAGATATCCCTATTGAAATCATAAATTAACAATTAATTTTATTACCACGTCGTTTAATTGCAATTGTCGACTGCATTGTGCGTTATCTACATTAGAAGTGACTACTGCTATTGCTCTAGAACGGAGTGTTGATTGTGGCACTTCACGATCATTCCTCAAGTAGGACTTGTAAGAGCCTCTTGCACAGTTTCTATCCACTGCACTATTCATATTTTTACCAACGTTGCTAAAATGAAATAACAAATGTAGACCTTATTAATTTCCTACTTTCTTGTAATATTTTGTAATACGCCAGCAAATCGAAGTTAACGCTTCTGTATTTATTCGGTTCAAGGTTAGTGTCCATAAAGGCCAGTGATGGCCCGTGCGGAACAAAATCTCACAGGCTCGAGTTTGTGCATGCGTCAGCTACGTCATCCGTCAATGGTAACCGCAGGAGTGACTGCCACGTCACTCTACGCATGCGCAGAAGGTCTCTTGCCGCGGAGAAAATCTAGCGAACTGTCAACACTGTCCCCCATCCCTGCACTATAGGCGATTCGCAGTCATACGCTTACATTTGCATTCGGGGAGACACTATTTGGCGCTATAAACGTGTTATGTTCTTGTTATTTACTGAAAATTGAACAAGAACAGAATACACTTTTAGAGCCAAATAGCGTCTCCCCGAACGCAGCTATTGTATAGTATTTTGTTTTAAGGCTACAGTTACAATTAATGTGTCGCTTTTTCTCGCGGATTTGTGGCGGCAGCACAAATACACTGGCGAAACGTTACGTTAAGGACGTGAAAGTTCTGGCGAGTTCCGGCGAAAGAGAAAAGAGTTAGGGTAAATATTATAGATATTATCATTTATATTAATATTAAATGCAAAGAACAAATACTGCGTCATTACTTACCGAACTCACGTGTCACCATGTTTGTGTTTTATGTGCTCCGTTTTAGTGCTCGGTTTTCTGCATTCTTTTATATTTACTGTGCGTGTTTCTAATTGATTTATCGTAGCAGGTCGTAGTCTGAGCTTTTTGGGCATCAGTCTATTGAAAATACAGTAAACAAATTTACTTGATGACATGGATATCATGTCAAACGACAAATATATTGTTTGCGACTTTCCTAACGAGAACAATAAAATATCTATTGCGTACAAAGAGTGGATAATTTCTCAACTTGACGATGATGGTTTGCAAGGTATCATAGATCAAGAAACACAAATTCAATTAAAATGGCCGAAAAACTGTGTTATCAAGATTCATTCTGCAACTATGGATAAAGTGTTTAAAAAAGCGGACTAGGAGGTTACTATTGCAGTTATTCTGGCACATGGTAGTAAGTAAATATTTTTTATTCTGTTATTTTAATGTAAGGACAGTGATAATCATTGTTGTATACACTACGATCCTATGTAATAAATGTTATGTGCAGCTTGGACAGAAATGACAGAAGTTGTCGCCAACTTTAAAAAGTATGGGATCAAATGCATAACAAGAAGTGAACGAAAGAAGTATACAAAGAGAGCGTTCTTCGGAGACGACAACAGCTCTACATCTGAGCAAGAAAATGAACCATTGCCGCTGCAGAGACCATTAAAACAGTTTAAGAACAAAAAGCAAAAGATAAATGATATTCATAATTGAATGCAAAGTACCTTCTTTCGTAATATTCTGATTCTACAATGTGTATTAACATGAACAACTGTTTTTAGAAAATGTTCAATGCGCGGCAGGATGAGTGTATATCAGTTGGACACGGGGCAATTGGACACAGTCCAATCACAAGTCGCTGTTCCAAGGGACCCTACAAATGTCTCTAATCACACGGTGCTGTGATTGGCTGTGTCCAAATGCACCGTGTCCAAGTGCACCGCTCCCG